AGTTTATACACACATTTGAAGATAAGAGTTGTATCATAAAGTCTAAAACAAAACTCATCAAAGACACAGGGTCAATAATTTTATACGCCAGACGTACGTTTCGTCTACATAAAACCTTCATTATTCTTGTTCTTATTCTTATTTACAATTTATCAGGCCTTCACTGATTTTGATTATGTGAATAGACATGTTTAACACTATATATGAAGACATCCACGCATATTCTGTTATAAAGACTTTTCAAACGACGTTTGTCTAATTTTCAGGTGTAATCAGAGTTAAATGGGACAGTGGTGATACCAATATCTACATGCAATGTGACGAAACTAATACATACGATCTTAGGAAGGTAGATGAACCTAGAATACTGGTGGATGAGATGATAGCTGTTGGTTGTAGAGTTGTTAGAGGTACGTAAATAATACATTAGTAAGTCAAAACAAAGTAAAGTTTTGGTTTCTTAAGTTGTGCTATTGTAAGGAACTTAAGTAAAACTTTTCTTCATTTATATCTAAATATTTTCGCCTTGTTGGAGGTTTGGTGTCATGGCAAATCCTTGGTAGTCATTGTCAAGTTTATATACTTTCCTAGATATAATATTCATATAGCGAGCATTTCTCAATTTTCGAAGACAAAAAAATTGTAGATGCCTTCTGGAGTTTTTTGTTTTAGTTTTTTTTTGTTTCGTTTTGCATTTGCATTTGTTTTTGTTTTTGTTTTTAGTTTGGTTTTCTTTTTTTCTTTTGTTATTTATGTATTTTGTATTTTTGGTTGAAACACATTAGTGTCATTCACGTTTATCTCACATCAAATTTATGCATAACAAATATAGATGTTTTCAAAAAGCAGCAGTCATCAATGAGGGGAAAACGTTAGAAAAAAAATTTGTTATAGACACATTAAATTATAATTGTAACCACATGCATTTTTCATACACTATATCGAACAATTCTGTAACATTCAGTATTTTGTATTCTAAAGCGATATACAACATTATGAAAATGACACTTTATAAATTTGGAGCGTCCGAAGTGCTGTTCTGGATTTACCTTACTCAGAAACGATAATTTTAATGATAACATGAACAGTGTTTACCATGTTTCTCGTGTAATTGTTTAGTATTATTGTTATCCTTTATATTATAGGACATGATTGGAAGTTTGGTGATACTGATGGTGGACATGGAAGTGTAGGGACAGTTATAAATGTGAAACAGGAGGGGAAAGTTGTGGTGAGTCTGTAGTTCTCGGACATGTATTTTTCAGGTTATAAAGATCAATGGAATATATATTTTTATGATACCAATTACAATAATCATTGGAATACATGTAGTTAAATTTCTTTATCGACTTTTTTCGTCATTAACTATATTTTGTAAAACATTAGTACGTAATCTGGGGGAATGCAGTTGAACGTGAAATTTTTAACCCCGCAACATTCTGTATGTGCCTGTCTCAAGTCAGGGGTTTGCAATTAAGTGGTTGTCGTTTGTTGCTGTATATCATATTTGTTTTTTAGTTTATTGTTTTATACATAACTATATATAAATCAGGCCTTCGCAGTTCTCGAAGGGTGCTCCGAATAATGGAGGAATCTACCAGTACATACATACAAGGTCGTCCTTTTTCTCGTTGGAAATATTTAACATTTGTCTTTTCTGTGCCTTTTAACATAGCCTTGTATGCGGTATGGAATTTGAGGATTGTCGAAGGGCGTACGCTAACCTATAGTTGCTCAGCTTCTACGTCATTTGGCTTCTAATGGCGAGTTTTCTCATTAACGGTCATACCACATCTTCTTATTTTTATATACACTAGAAATATGTTTACTTATATGTTGCATCATTAAACATACTAGATTAAATGTATTGTCGGATTTTACAAAAAATGTGAAGCAACATGGAATATGTGTAACAGAAAAATTCATAAGAAGATTATTAGAGGTCAACTTTGCATTGAAGGGTTGCATCAAATTTCTGATTTGAAAGAAAAACAGTTTGTGACTGTGTTGCTATGGTAACAAAAATCTTCTATTTCAGGTGAGATGGGATTCTAAAAGAACAGGACTATATAAGATGGGACATAATGGACAGTTTGAAATTAGAGTACAGTTAGTACTGCAAACTTTATTGAATTAATATTTTCATATATAAGTTTCTTATCTGCATCCGATTTCACCTGTATAGATGCACGCTCGATGAAGCTAGTTTGTCTAGCGAAATATTGCGTTTATTTTTCATCGCATTGTAAATATTTTTAACATTTTAATATTTACATTCTAAATAGTGTGTTAAAATATCATTGTAAGGCAATTGTACGTCTAAACAAGTGACAACTCTACGACAGATTCATCCATTGGTTCACCAGTGAAGGTGATACACGGATGAAAACACATACTATATTCATAATTATAAATATTATTTTCCTGATCACGCCCTATTATATGACATCGATACCTTAGACACATTTTGTTAAACTCATCAACGGTACCAGGCTTATAATTTGTAACGCCTACATAAGATTCATTATTGGTACTAGAATTAAATTAGTTGGAGGGCCAAATAAGATACGGAGTTAAAAGAGTATTGAATTTTTTTTTTAGAAAAGTTGTGCCAAATACGACTTAGGCCATCTAAGCCTGGAGATAAAAAATGATTTCGAATATTCATATTCATGTCAACAAAAAAGGGCATTGTCATCAACCCAGAGGTTTGGAAACAAATCACCATCTTATGTACCCGATGGCAAAATAAAATGATGTGTCCATGGCAATCGGAACTACACAAAGCATCTGCTGTACACGATAGCAAAAAACAATGTTGTACTTAACAATCAGTGTCGTTTTTGGTAATTGTTTTTTCCTTTGACTACGTCCTTCATAGTATGACATATGTCCTACTTCAAAACATACAGTATTGAAACGAATAAACCTATTTTACCTTGAGATAGTAATAATGCACACTTAAAAATAACCAACAGTTTTAATTAGTACTTTAACTTTGAAGTGATGCAGCTCTTAGGAGTAAAAGACCTGAACCGAGATCAGGTTATAACAGTCCACACACATCAGACAGTGAATCAGAGAATAAAACACGTCGACCAAAATCCAGCACAATTAAAGACAATAAAACACAAGATCCAACAGATTATGTCATTCCGATATATTCCGATTCAACAGGTAATGATGCTCTTAATGTCACGAAAAGGTCTTTTAATATATTCTTCTATATTATATAGAAGTAGTAACATTGATATTATTGTCAATAGTTTAATACTAGTACATAACATAATGTTGTTCTATTATCAGCACTTATAGCTCAGCATCCAGTCTACTTTATTTTGGCATTACGCTCATGCTTTTCTCCGACTGCTTAAAACGCTAAATCCTTTAGAAGTGTTCTAGGTAGGATAACTTGGTAAATCTATTAGTTGACATTTGCTTTTAAGTAGCTTTTAGTAAGTTCGAAGTCGATACTTTGTGTTTTTGTCATTTTGTTAGGTTTTTGTTATTAGTGCAAATCTAATGAGGCAAGCCCTTTTCAATTGTTTGTTGCCGAGTGATCTTATGTTGGACAGTTTATATTGCCGCAGACTACGGGTGACCGCTTTATTAATATATTTAACTAAATTACGTATTTTTCTGTTTGTCTTTCTACTTTGACATGTTAAATTTTTCCTATATATATTTGTATATATTGATTTTGGAGTCGGATTCAACTACTTGTTTCAAAGCATTTTTTAAAACTTTTTTTAAGGAGGGTAAAATCTTGTACATGAAATTCTAATGGCAAAGAATCTTGATCAACATAATTGATTAGTATTCTGCATGTTTATGATAAATAAAAATTAGTGGTAGATTCAGGTTTTTTAAAGGAAAGGAGATAAAATTTATAAAATTTTCCAGAATTTTCTTTTTGTATTTGGCTGCTACTTCCTAAAATATATACTAACTAAAGAGCAAACATTTCACCTTTATCTACAATGCTATTTAGAATATATTCGTTTTGTAATGAACAGTATGATTTACATTTGCGAAATAAATCATTAATGTGTTTTCTTATACATTGCTACACATCTATACATTGTTTAATACTAGTGAGTGCTATTTGGGAATATCAAGAAGGCTCCGAGTGGAAAAAGTATCCAAATGAAATAAATGTAAAAATTGAAAAAGCTTATCAAAGAAAGCAGACAGGAAAAATAATCATCGAAATGGATCGTACAACGTAAGTTTGAACATTATTTAGATATAAGATTATCATTCTGTATGTTTTCTCTAATACATTCAAATCTAAAAATGTTTAATTAGAATAGCAAAATCAATACACTGTTGATAAGTTCAGATAAAAAAGGACAGTAAGGGACGTGAAAAACATACACTCAGATAAGTGAGAACAGATTATCTGCTGTACTTTCATCAATACAGTTTTACTTATATGAAAATACTCGTAGGTAAGATCTTATCTGTAAAGACAAGTTTCCAAATATGGATAAATTTTCACAAATTATAATTAAACATACATGTATAAAAATTCTCGAATATTATCCTCTTCATTTAATAAATAAACAGCAGATTGCATTTGGGCGACAATGCATTTTTAAAAGTCACATACGTAATTGAATATCTAACTCAAAACGCTCCAACTTCGCAAATTTGCGAACATGATCATAATTTAACATACTTAGACTCCAGGTAGTACTAAGAGAAGTTTCATTTGTGTCGTACCACTTGTAAAAGGTATAAAATGACGAAATGAGGAGAATTTCTTAAATGTACGTACAAATAAAGGTAAAGCACTTGAAAATTGGAATCTCCCTTTTCCCTTTTTCTTTAAATATTGTCTTTCAGATTGATGCTTTATTGCTGTGATTAATGCCTTTTCCATTTTCTATTAATTAAATACAGACTTTATAAATTTCGTGCGTCCGAAGCGGTTTCCTTAATTTCCTTTCATCAGGAACACTCAAACCTTTACATTTTAAAGGAAACATTAGAAGCTATATAATCGGAAAGGACCTTAACAGAATTGACAAACCTTAACACTTTAAAGCCAACATTAGAAGCTATATAATCGGAAAGGACCTAAACAGAACAGACAAACCTTAACACTTTAAAGCCAACATTAGAAGCTATATAATCGGAAAGGACCTAAACAGAATAGAAAAACCTTAACATTTTAAAGCCAACATTAGAAGCTATATAATCGGAAAGGACCTAAACAGAATAGACAAACCTTAACACTTTAAAGCCAACATTAGAAGCTATATAATCGGAAAGGACCGAAACAGAATAGACAAACCTTAACATTTTAAAGCCAACATTAGAAGCTATATAATCGGAAAGGACCTTAACAGAATAGACAAATTCATCTAAGGTCATCTTTGTCAGAGGGAGTTGGAACCTTAGTTAATTAATAAATTCGTAATTTATGAACGGAAAATTTTAAACCTGCTATCCTTTTACCTTTAATTTGAAATTGGCGCGCAGATACTACATATTTTTATGTTTGTTATAAATTTTATCAATTTTATTATGATTTTAATGAAGGTGTATCTATCATTCGTTTCTTGTGTACTTTTCTTTCACTATACTATCAATTAACTAATAGATGGCTGGATGATTTTACTTCTCATTATCATCACACTCAAGTTATTTATTCACATGTTGATAGGTAAAAGTCCATACCGTCTTGTAAGCGTATTCTCTCGGGAAATACATTGTCGAAACACGATTTAAATAGTAATGCCTAATTCGGGATAGATCAAAGTTAGATTAAAATACGTTTTTGGTGTCACATATCATTTATGTGTCATCGAATCATGGAATGAAAATAAAAGAATGAAGAATAAGATTGTGTTTGGTTTCATGGTTCTGACAAATTCTTTTACGAGAAGTATCCATATTATTCATTAAATTCTCAGATTTCTGTCGTATAGTAAACAATCTGTGAAAAATATTGAGATCTTGAAGACTAATATATACTCAAATGCAAAGACAGTTACATTCAAATTAATGATCTAAATACCTTTTGCACAATGGTATGTGTATCTTTCTTGATACGGATGTGCACGAAATGTTGCTAAATGTCCAGGCTAGTATTTTTTTGTTGCAATCATATACGTTAATGATATTGAGGTTAAACAGTTGATGTGTTAAACCTTATGAGCAGAAAAGTATAAACTTTATGGGAAGAAAAGTGACTGTTCCAAAAATGTAAGTATCAATATCACTTCATTTAATTTCAGGTATCAAATACATTTTTCAAGAATGATTCAAGTGAATCCAAGTAATAAGACAGAAAAATCCGTCCAAAGAAAAGGTTTGTTAAATGTGATTGACCAATAGTGTACATTTACAATCTGTCCAATCAAGGAGTTTGGTTCATTTTATCGTTCAAATGATGTTGAAAACAAAACAGAATGTAAGGAATTTAGTCTGTTATACATTATGACAAACATATAGTGAAAAGTAAATCGGAATGACAGCATTAAAATACCAAGTATGAATAAAATTTTGAAGAGAGTAACAAAGAATCATACAATGGTTAGATATATCAAACACAACGTAAGTACAAATCGGGGATCCCTAACACAGCAAATTGAAAGCTACTACACCTACAAATCTTACACCTCACCCCAGTTTTTGGTGGGGTTCGTGTTGCTCAGTCTTTAGTTTTCTATGTTGTGTTTTGTGTATTTTCGTTTGTTTTTCTTTTTTTTTTTAGCCATGGCGTTGTCAGTTTATTTTCGACTTGTGAGTTTGAATGTCCATTTGGTATCCTTTGCCTCTCTTTTACAGGTTCTTGCATTATTCGCGGAATATCAAATAACATATTAGAAAATATTTTCTTTATTTCACAGCAAAAATTTCGTATTTCTAGTTTAGAATCTTCGTGAACATATAACTGCTCCAATATTTTTTAGGTGACATAATTCAAATAACTCAAATGAATATAACGTAAGTCAAAGGGTTTTGATTCGTTGAAATTTGAAAATTATCTATTAAAATTACATGTTTATCTTTTAGATTAGATTGGGAGAAAAAGAAGAAGATGTGCCGAAAAAAGAATGGAAAAATTTTATTTTAATTTATTTTTATTAAAGTGAATTTTGCATATATTTACAGTAATTTATCAGGAATAAGGGATGTAATGCTCTCAGAAAAAGTAAGATTCGGGTACTATATAAAAATAAGGAGATCCGGTATGACTGCTAATGAGACAACTATTTACCAAAGTTCAAATGATGTGGATGTAAGCAATCATAGGCAACCGTACGGCCTTCAACAATGAGAGAAACCCATACCGTATAGTCGGCTATAAAAGACCCTGACATGAAAATATGAAAAAAATCAATTAAGAAAACTAACGACCTAATTAATAATAAAACAACTTACGAAAAACAAATATGACAGACACGAACCAACGACAACCACTGAACTACTGGCTCCTGACTTGGGACAGGCACATATACAATGTAGCTAGGTTAAACATGTTTGTGAGAGCTCAACCCTCCCCTAACCTGGGACAGTGGTGTAACTGTACAAAAAAGGACAAACTATAAAAATCAGTTGAAAAAGGCTTAACTCATCAGATTGATACAAGGAAAAACATCAAACAAAATCATAGACAGGACGTACGTGGCAGGGTATATATCCACCCCTTATACCTAACAACAAAAAATACACTAAGTACAGATATGAGAGTACTCGCAGTTACTGACAGCTAGTTCAAAGCCAATTTACAACTAATCGTGTATCTAAGACTAAAATTTCAATCAATACACATCCAACATCCAATGGATTTAGTGTAAAGACGTCATTAACAGTCAGAGAAAAACATGACCTAGTGCAATGCCAAAATATATTTATTGACAGATTGTAGTACCGTGAAAGTACATATGTGTAATATTTAGTATGGTTTTAATTTACTGATATCAAAATCAATATTTATACCAATAAAAACAATATTTAAAGATTCAATTACAGCGTTGAATTGGTAACCTTTTAGAATAAGTTCGAATTCTTTAAAGGATTGATAAGTTTACCCGGATCGTATCTTAATTTCCGGGCTTTACCACTTTACTTGTTCTATCGATTGATTGGTTGATTCATTGTTGTTTGCTTTATGTCACGGGCAAATTTGTTATGTTCAAAAGGAGAACAAATTAACAATAAATCCAATACGTAGGTCCTGTAATAATGGTCGGCCATGATGAAGGGCCGACATTTAGACTGCCATTAGAATTTAAGGGTATATTGGATAGGGAAGAAACATTTGCAACATGCCACCTGTAGATCCATCAAATAGTTGTTCCAATGGTTCTAAACGTGAAGAGAGCATTGCACATTCTCTCAGTCTACATGAGGCACTGGACCTAATGTACACTTTCCGACCGGACTTGGCTGCATTTTTATATACCCCGCACATTCAAATGGACATTCCAATTTAGTCAGCGTTTAACTGCCGGCCGGAGGAATACCAAACGGGACCATCATTCTATTCCCAAGTCATTCCTGGGGTATATAGATCGAAGAAATATCTTTTAAAGTTTTCTTGATATATTTTTATGGTACTTTAATTTTTTTGGTTTATTTATTTGCTACCCTTTCTCGGAATAAATTATATCAGGAATAAGAGATGTAATGCTTTCAGAAAAAGTAAGATTCGGGTACTATATAAAAATAAGGAGTTGCAGTATGACTGCTAATGAGACAACTATCCACCAAAGTTCAAATGATGTGGACGTAAGCAATTATAGGCAACCGTACGGCCTTCAACAATGAGAGAAACCCATACCGTATAGTCGGCTATAAAAGACCCTGACATGAAAATATGAAAAAATTAAATTAAGAAAACTAACGACCTAATTAATAATAAAACAACTTACGAAAAAAAACAAATATGACTGTGACTGTTTTGCTAAGTGTGAATTCGCATTGCTATAAGACGTGTCACGGTATTTTTCTATCCAAAATCCATGTATTCAGTTTTGATGTTATATTTGTTATTCTCATCGGATTTTGTCAAATGTCTTGTCGTTTGTAGTTGTAAATCTTATTTTTTTCTATTCTATTCGTGTGTTACGGTAAAGATATATAATCACCCAGTTCATTTATAAGATTTTAGTTTGGGTCAACTAAATTTATACGATGTATTTGGTTTACAGTTTGATTTAGAAGAAATACCGACATAGCTTGATAATACAATTAATTATCTAATTACTACTACGATTGTATATTAATAAGTATTGTTATTTTCATTGTTATTAATACATGTTATATCAGTATTACAAACCTAACCTTGAACTCTATCCTATTTTTTGGAATTTTATAGAAATTTATATGTGACGTCACATTGTGCGTCGATCTCTTCGGCTAACATACAATACGTTGTTCGGCTGTGCCTTTTTTATGTGCTGATTTAGGTTGTTTTACGTATTCGTTTTTATTCTGTAGTTAGTCACTACTTCGGTGTTGACATGTATATCTATTGTATAATCATTTTTTGTAAATTTGCTGTTTGCAAGGGTGTGAGTTGTTCTAGATGCTAAGGATTTTCTTGTCCCAGGCATATAACCTTGGCCGTGTTTGGCACAACTTTTGGTTCTCAGTGCTCTTCGGCTTTGTACTTGTTTTGGCTTCCGGGTTTTTTTATCTGAGCGTCACTGATGGGTCTTGTGTAGACGAGACGCGCGTCTGGCGTATTAAATTATAAGCCTGGTACCTTTTGATAGCTATTATTTGTGTGTGTCTCTGTCCTGTATGTTCTCCCATTTATTTGTATTGTAGTCCTGTCATTTAATCTTGTCATTTTAATGTTATATTTAACATTGCCATAACAGCGGAAGGTTTGGCTAGCCACAAAACCAGGTTCAACCCACCATTTTTTCTTAAAATGTCCTGTACCAAGTCAGGTAAATGGCCATTGTTATATTATAGTTCGTTTATGTGTGTGTTGCATTTTAGTGTTATGTTTCTGTTGTGTCGTTGTTCTCTTATATTTGATGTGTTTCCTTCAGTTTTAGTTTGTAACCCGGATTTGTTTTTTTCTCAATAGATTTATGAATTTGGAATAGCGGTATACTACTGTTGCCTTTATTTACATCCATGAACCAACGACAACCACTGAACAACAGGCTCCTGACTTGGGACAGGCACATACACAATATAGCGAGGTAAAACATGTTTGTGAGAGCTCAACCCGCCCCTAACCTGGGACAGTGGTGTAACTGTACAAAAAAGGACAAACTATAAAAATCAGTTGAAAAAGGCTTAACTCATCAGATCGATACAAAGAAAAACATCAAACAAAAACACAGACAGGAGGTACGTGGCAGGGTATATAT